ATCTCCAAAAACTTCATTTATTTATTTATTTATTTATTCATTTATTTATTTATTTATTTATTTATTTATTCATTCATTCATTCATTTATCTATCTATTTATTTATTTATTATAATTTATTCACTTTATATCCTGATTGTAGCCCTCTGCCTTGTCTCCTCCTGGTTCAACCTTCCCTCCTCTTTCCCCCCTGTTCCCCTCCCCTAGCCCACAGAAAGGGGGAGCCCTCCTCCCCTACCATCTGACCTTAGCCTATCAAGTCTCATCAGGACTGCTTGTGTCCTCTTCTGTGGCCTGGCCAGGCCTCCTCAGCAGGGGGAAAGTGATCAAAGAGTAGGCAACAAGGTCCATGTCAGAGACAGCCCCTGTTAACCTTACTACGTAGAGACTGAGCTGCTTATGGGTTACATCTGAGCAGGGCATCTTGGTCTTCTCCATGCATGGTCCTTGGTTGGTGCACAGTCTCTGCAGGACCCACCTGGAGAGATTTGCAGGTCTAGATTTGTTCATTTTGTTGGTGTCCTTGTGGTGCTCCTGTCTGCTCTGGGTCCCTCTGTCCCCTTACTTTTCCATAAGAAATCGCGGGACATTTACACAATGGAAAACTACTTAGCTATTAGAAACAAGGGAATCATGAAATTTGCAGGCAAAATGGATGGAACTAGAAAAGATCATCCTGAGTGAGGTAAACCAGGCCCAGAAAGACAAACATGGTATATACTCACTTATTTATTTATTTAATACTTTTTTTTTACTGTTTGAGAATTTCATACATGCATATAATGCATTTTGATTAAACCCACCCTCCATTCCTTCCTTTCTAATTCTCCTACCACTATTTCATCCCAATTTCATGTGTTCCTTTTTTGAACCCACTGAGTTTCCCCAGTGCTCCCAGTATGTGTAAGGGTAGGGCGGTCTGCTGGAGCACGCTTAGCTTCTCAGGGGCTACATGCCAAAAAATAACAAACTGACACCTCCTTCTCTCAGTAGCCATCAGTTGCCTGTAGGAACTCAGGTAGGGGCGGAGCCGTGTGGCCCTCTTCCAACCATGCTGGCATTTGGTACAGCTTGATCTTGCACAGGTCTTGTATATCCAGTCGCAGCTGCTTTGAGCTTATGTGCGCAACTTCTCGGTCATGTCCAGAGAGCATCTTTTTACTGTAGTCGTCTAGTATGTCTGGTGCTTGCTATCTTTCTTATAATCTTGATCCCTCAACCATGGGGGAAAATGATCTGATATATCATTTAAGGATGAGCACCTGTCTTTACACTGACCAGTTGTGGGTCTCTGTGTTAGCTTCTGTGTTGAGGGCTGAGGGGTGCAATGATCTATGCACATAAAGATAAGTACTTAGGGGGTGATTTACATTCACTGAGCAGGACAATGGTAGTGGGTTTTGCCTTAGGACCTATGGTCTACTCAGTCATGAGTTCTTGGCTCTTTAATGGTGACAGGCATGAGCTCCTTTTGGTGGAGAGGCCTGAAATCCAATCATAAAGTTACTGCCTTCATTACTTTTCTATTGCTGTAAAGAGACACTATGACCAAAAAAACTTATAAAATAAATCATTTAATTTGAGGGCTCATGGTTTCAGAGGATTAGAGTCCATGATGGGGAACATAGCAGCAGGAAGGCATGAAGCTACAGCAGTAGCTGAGAGCGTCCATCTGATCCATAAGCATGAGGCAGATAGATAGATAGATGATATAGAGAGAGTGAGATAATTAGAAATGGGGTGAGATTTTGAAATCTCAAAACCTATCCCCAATGGCATATCTCCTCCAATAAGGCTACACCTCCTAATCCTTCCCAAGCAGTTCTACCAACTGGGGACCAAGTAATCAAATGCATGAGCCTATAGGGGTCATTCTTGTATGTTTATAGATATTTCTTTCTTTAGGTTGGGTAAGTTTTTTTCTATGATTTTGTTGAAAATATTCTCTGGGCCTTGGAATTTGGAGTCTTTTTCTTTTTTTCCTATTATTCTTAGTTTTGGTTTTTTCATATTGTCCCAGGTTTATTGGATGTTTTATGTCAGGAACTTTTTATAATTAACATTTTCTTTGACTGATGTATCTATTTCTTCAATCAATTCTACACCTGAGATTCTCTCTTCCATCTCTTGTATTCTGTTATTGATGCTTGTCACTGTAATTCTTATTCTCTTCCCTAGATTTTCTATCTCCAGGATTGCCTCAGGTAGTGTTTTATTTATTGCTTCTATTTCCATTTCTAGGTCCTGGACAGTTTTATTTAATTCCTTCACTTGTTTGATTGTATTTCCTGTATTTCTTTAAGGGATTTATTCAATTTCTTCACCTGTTTGTTTGTATTTTCCTGCAGTTCTTTGAGGGATTTATTTTCTTCTTTTAAGGCCTCTATCATTTTCATAATCCCAGATTTAAAGTTTTCTTGTGCTTCTGGTGTGATAATATCCTCAGGGCTTGCTGTGGTAGGATAGCTGGGTTCTGGTGATGTCATATGGCCCTGAGTTTTGTTGTTAGTGTTCTTGTGCTGACCTCTGGCCATTTGGTTGATTTGGTATTAGCGGGCCTGGTGTTTTCTGATGGTAGCAGGTCTCTGGAGTTGTAGGTAGACCTCGTGGTCCCAGATGGCCATAATCCTCTGGTTTTCCTGCTGCTCCCTAATCCATGCTGGTCTCCGGGTAGAAGATCGGAGTAGGTCCCAGGAAATGGCACATACTGGGGAACTGGGGGCTATTCTTACTCAAGCTACCAGTTAATCTCATAATTTTTTTTTAAATTAAATCTTGTGTTCATATCTTGATTTTTTTCTTTATTTATTTCAACTGTTTGTGCTTTTTTGATCTTGCGTCCAGCATTCAATTCATTTCCGCTTTGTGTTCCTTTATAATTGCTCTTTTGAATCCATTGTCTTTTGTATCATCTAAGATGCTTTTCTCAGGGAACATGATTAAAAGAGCATACTTTCTGAGACATATTGCCCTATATATTCGTGATTGTGTTTATGTGATGGGACCTATGCATCTGGATGGTGGTGTTTCTTTGTGTGAATGTCAGCCTCACCTTTGTTGAGTGGGCATTTGGATCTCTATTTTCTTTTGCCCTAATTTGTCACAGTTGGACCAGCTGAATTGTATTTGAGTTCAGTGTTGGGGCCACTCAGTGTTGATGTGTGTGTGGGTTATCAAAAATAGACCTAGTTCTGCTAGGGCTGGATGCTACGTCTATAGCAAACTGTTGAATTACATTCTTGTCCTGTTTACTAAGAAGTCTGTGGAAGGCGCAATGGTTTCTATAAATAGTCTTTGGTATCAGGGGTTGGGAGCTGTAAAGTAGGCAGTGTGTCCTGGGAAGGTATGAAGGGCTTAGTTTAGTCCTCAGGTAGCAGGGGTGGGGTCATGGCAGGGCTGGGAGTTGACTTTGCATAAGTATCTAATTCAAGCATTAAGAGAGCTGAAAAGCGTCTTAAAATTTTTATTTCATGTGCATTGGTGCTTTGCCTGCGTGCATGTTCGTGTGAGTGTGAGAGTTCGTGCATGGACCCAGAGGATAGACAGACAGTTGTCAGCTATCATCTGGGTGCTAGGAATTGAAACCAGGGTCCTCTGGAAGAGAAACCATTGCTCTAAACTGCTGGACCATCTCTCTAGCCTGTGAAAGGATCTTTTATTCTTCTGCTTCGGTTATTGTCTCAGAGGTTATTGTCTGTCTGCTAACCTAGGCCTAGTCTCAGAAGCTTCTGGTCTCCGTAAAATCTAACCTAGGCCTAGAATGTTTTCAGCCTCTGAGACATACTGCTTAATAAGCTCAAACTTTCTTGTTCTTTCTGAGTTCTGGGAAGGCTGGTTCAACTCAGCTGTTTGGGCTCAAACTCTTCTCTCAGTTGACTTATTCATCTGACTTTTCTCTAGGCCTCTGAATTGCTCTGTTTGGCCTCAAACTAATTCCAGCAACCTTTTCTAATCAGGCACGTTCTCATTCTCTGACTCTTTAACTGGGTTCTTTTTCTGCAACCCGCCTCTCTCTTGCTGTAAAACTGTCCACCACTTTCTGCATTGCCCACAAAGTAGCTCCCCTTTCTTTTCTCTTTTCATGAGAGTTGAGCATATCTATCCTATTCTGTCAATCTTCTCTGATTCATCACTTTCTCTGCCACTACATTAAACAACACTTTCCAACGTGGGTGCTTCCTTCTATAAACTATCTTTATCTACGTTCTTTGGGATTAAAGGCGTGTACCATCACGCCTGGATCTAAGTAAGCCTTTCTTTACCTGAAACGTGGTCTATATCAGGCTGGCCTTGAACTCAGATCTGCTTGATTCTGTCTCTTGGATCAAAGGCATGTTTGTATTCCAGCCAGATCACACAAAAGATCTTTGGATGTGATCTCTTGCCAGCTGGATCACACAGACCTAGAAGGTCTTTGGATGCGATCTTTTGCCAGAGCAGCTATGTTCTGAATTAATGTTCCTCTACAGCTCCTGACATTTCTTTTTTGAATTTCTTTGTGTGTGTATGTGATTTGTGTGTGGAGACCAGAGGTCAACTTTGGATGTTTTTGCTCAAGAACTTTACACCTTGCCTTTTGAGACAGTAGCTCCTACTGTAGGCTCGGTTGTCTGGTCAGTGAACTTCAGGAATCTGCCTGTCTTTGTCTCCTAGCCCTGGTTTTACAGGCACATGCCTACATGCCACCACTTCCAGCTTTTCTTTGTATGGGTTCTTCAGATTGAACTCAGGTCAGTCTGAACTCGGAGGGCCTTAGGACATACTGTTGCAGATATTTGATTTAATGTGAACCCCCAAATTGTGAACCGAAGAACCTTGAATCCACGAACTTTTTATTATAAACAGGTATTTACGGTATGGTTCTCCCAGCCCTAGCACATACCTTTAATCCAAGAGCTTTCTGTACACAGGATTTAAGAAATTTAACCCTAGTCCAAGAGGCGGAACAAGAAACCTGCTGACAAGGATTAAAGAGTAGGAGGGACTTTGAGTTGAGGGGTATATAAGACAGCATGGAGAAGAAGAAGGAGCTTTTAGCTTGAACTCTGGTTTTAGCTTCTGCTTCAGCTGTTCAGCTCCCTGGATTTTTGGGCTTTAAACTAGCAAGACTTCAGCCTTGGTTTTTTTCTTTTGGCCTTTCCTTTCTGGGATGTCAGTTGAGCTAGTGAGCCTTTTGGTTTTTGTTTTGTTTTTGTTTTTGTTTTTTTCATCTGGAGCTGAGCTGAGAAGGAAGGTCAGTCAGCTGGGTACTTTCTCTGCCCCTCTGAGCCAGAAGGCTTTAACCCCAGCATCTGGCTCCTGAGTCTTTACTGGAAAAGTAGAGCGGTTGGCATTTTCATTTTTTTTAAACAACATTTTGGCACTCCAACAAGTAGCACGACCCCACAGACAGAAAGATCTCCAGCTGCGGACAAACTTGAGAAGCCATCAGAGTTGGTAAGTCATCTGGGATGTCCTCTAGGAGACAATTAAGGATGGGAACTACCATAATAGAAGACTTTAGAACCATGTTTAGTGCTACTCCAGATAGCCTAAAAATAGAAGCATTAAATGAAAAGCTAAATAATATAACCGAAATTAGTTCAATATCAATTATGGTTAATATAATTTTGTTATTTTTTAAATTTATTCTTAATAGTCAATATGACTTTCTGTACTTGCTCTAAGAGAAAAACCTTTAGAGAGACAGGAAAAAGAAAAATGAAAAGTGCATTGATTAAATACAAGCCTTAGAAGGAAAATTACAGAGACTTAATAAATGAAAATAAAAATACCCAGGCACAGATAGAGTAATTTAGACAAGCCTTAGAAAGATCTATGAATCAGAATAAGGAAAATTCTCAGACACACACAGGCAGAGGAAAGAGCCTACCGTGCCACAGCATAATAAAACTGCAAGGAGCAGGCATAAGGCTGTTAGAAAACCAGCTTTAGTATATCCAGTTACTATTTAAGACATACCATGACAAGATAGCCACGCTTAAGGTTGTAATGAATTGAAATGGCATCCTACAGACATACTAGATTTGAGGAAAGGAAGCAATAATCTCCTATGGTATGCATTCATCCTATGTTAAGCAGATGTTAAATTCATGGTCAAGCCAGAGCAGGATTATCTCCCATGACTGGAAAGATATGACAGTAGCAATGTTGGAACCTGGTCCTCAGTTACAGCAGCAGTCATGGTAGAAAGAGGAAATCAGGCCAGAGGTATTGATATCTCTCAGGATTGGTTGCTAGGTGAAGGTCAATAGGCTGATTTACAAAGTTTGAACTGGATGACCACACCTTGGCATATGTGGCCTAGCAGATTTAAATGCTTGGGATAGGCTGAAGAATCAGGAAAGAGATCTGAGGCATTTACTAGAATTATACAAGGCCCAAAAGAAGCCTTTAGTGATTTTGCAAAGATTGACTTCAGCTTTAAATAGAATAGTACCAGATTCAGTAAGCAGAAAAGTACTAACTGAAACTTTGGCTTTTGAAAATGCTAACTCAGAATGCAAAAGAGTAACTAGACCTTTAAAGGCAAGATCAGTATCAGTAGAGGAATGGATTAGAGATACGCCTGATTATGGGATCTCTTGTTTATGATGCAAATCTGATAGGAGAAGTAATTTCTAAAATCTTAGGAATCAAAATGGCAGATTTTTTTTTTTTTTTTTTTTCCCTGTAGTCCTGGGCTGGCTTTGTATACCAGGCTGGCCTTGAACTCTAAGCAATCTGCCTGCCTCTGCCTCTTAAATGCTGGGATTAAAGGCGTGCACCACCACTTCTGGCTATGCAGATGGTTTAATTGTGGTAAGCAAGGCCATTTGAAAAAAGGACTGTAGGCTTTCCCAGAAACAGTGGTTTTTCTAGAGATAAAAAAAAAAGGCCCCAGCTTTCCTGGTATGCTGAAGGCATGGCAAAGGCAGGCCTTGGACTAAGGAGTATAGATCAACAAGAGATAGGCAAAGTAACCCTTTGCCTTTGGGAAACACCCGAGGGGCCTTCCTGCAGACCCCAACATCAAATTCAATTCAATCATTTCCTGTCAATGTAGGAGAAACTCGGCCACAGAGCAATTAAAAGATTTAGTACCTGTTGTTAAAAACCATATTGCTCTGGATGTAGTCAAGGACAGAACAGCTTCAACAGCTAAAACAAAATTAAGAAAGACCACAAAGCAAGTATTTTGGCAAACTGCTATAAATGATCAGAGACCTAAGCTAAAAATAAATGGCATTAGAATTGAAGGTTTAGTAGACACAGGAGCAGATGTAACAATAATCTCACCAAGACTGGCCTCTTCAAGAAGTAAATCAGCTTCGAGGGATTGGAATTTTATCTCAGGTCAAACAAAGTGCCAGACAGGTTGAGTGTATAGGACCAGAAGGACAAATGGGAAAATTAAAGCCATTTGTGGCTAATATAGCCATGAATTTATGGGGATGAGATTTGTTACAGCAATGGAAAACACAGATTAACATTTCTCCAATCTCAGAAACGATCAATAAAATAAATATTACAAGCTATTATTGAGAACAGTCACAGACTGTCCATGTTTTCCGTAAGCAGGACATGACAAGTGTTGGTCTTTCAAAGGTACCAACTGCCCTACCTTTAAAATGGCTAACCAACAAGCTAACCCACCCACATGGGTGGGTCAATGGCCTGTGAAAAAAATAAATATTATAGGTACTAGAATAGGTGCTCAACACATTGGGGAATCTACCAGTCCATGCAATTCTCCTATGTTTGTTATAAAAAAAAAAAATCAGAAAAATGGAGGATGTTAACAGGTTTAAGAGCCATAAAGAAAATTATTCAACCAATGGGCTCTTTATAGCCTGAAATCCCATTGCTTTCTTTATTACATAAGTCATGGCCTTTGATAGTAATTGATTTAAAGGATTGTTTTTATTCTCAGTCCCTTTGCATGAGCATGGTAGGGAAAGGTTTGCTTTCTCAGTGCCAAGTTATGATGATAGTGGTCCTATAAAGTGATCATTGGAAGTTCTTACCACTAGGAATGTTAAACAGTCCTACCTTGTGCCAATAGTTTATACAACAGCCATTAGAAATAATTCATAACAGTTTCCTCAATCTAAAATTTACCATTATATGATCAAGGGGACTATTCTAAGTTTCCCCAGGAATAGGTGGCTGTCCCCCAGGCTGGGTGTCCTGGAGCAGTGGTACCCAGCTGCCTGGCTGCAGGTAGACATGAGGGCAGTGGGGAAGGCTTGCATATGGCCCTTGTTTGGTGAATCTGGCTTTGGGGAAGAGGGAGAAAAGTCGGATTACAAGATCATCCACCACCACCACCACCAAAAAAAACACCAGGGTATTTTTCCTTTTTTTTTTTTTTTTTTTTTTTTGCACTTTTCAGATGGCTTTAAATTCATAAAGCAATTGTCCCCCTTTTCAGTCAGCACTTGAATCTCAGAATGAGCAAGGAAAGACCCAAAAGGAAAATCATTAAGAAGAAATTTGATGACAGCGATTGGATCCCAAGGTTAGAAGATAGCATGGTGCAGAAAGTTCTTTATTTGTCTCTGAAGGAATTCAAGAATGCACAGAAAAGGCAGCATGGGGAAGGTGTTGCAGGGAGCCTGAAAACAGTGAATGGGCTCTTTGGTAATGACTCATCTAAGGCATTAGGACCAACCTCAGGGCAGTCAGAGAATGAGAAGGATCATGCACCCCAAGTGTCCTCTGCTAGCAGTGATGCTAGTTCTTCAGATTTTGAAGAAGGGCCATCGAGCAAAAGGTCTAGGCCGCGAGCAGTAAGAAAGTTTGCTCAATTTCAGCCGAGTGGTCCCAGCACAACCCCAGTGAGGACAGTGGAGCCTTTGCCATCCTGGCCAGCTGCTCAATTTTCTGATCTCTCTAAAAGGATACCTAAGACAGAAGACTTTCTTACCTTCCTCTGCCTTCGAGGCTCCCCTCTGCTGCCCACCAGTATGATATGTTTTGGAAACTCTCAGGAGGATGTCGAAGAGGAAGATAAGATAGATGTCAAAACAGCCAGCAACAAAACCTCCGGGAAAGGTAAAGCCCATAAGCGCATACACAATGGGCGTGCTCTCAAAGGCTCCAATAGATCAACACGGGAGAAAAAACCTGCTCGAAAACAGAAAAGCAAACAGGCCATTCCCAGGAGGAAGTGAGCACAGGGCAGACAGCCCAAGCGAGCAGGCTTCAGCCGCTCAGCGCACAGCTGCCTCCTTTGCAGGCTCCTCCACCAAAGGCCTTGCTGCCAACTACCAACCTCCTCTTCTGCATTGGATGGCTCAGGACCTATGGAAACAGGTGTCTAAGGTAAATGGAGTCAATTGAATGTCATCTCTAGGTGCAGGGACAACCAGGGCCAAAAAGATCGGAGAATGTGAGGCACACTGCCACAGTGACCAGGGGAAATGTCGGGTACACCGAGGCCCAGAGAGAACTGTGGGTCTCCGCTGGATAAGCTTGAAGTCGGCCGTCTCAGGATAGCCAGTTATTTTACGCTTGGTCTATAATGCTAGGCTCCTTTTTCTCAGCAGGGTTCTGACTTCTCCCCTGATCTGGATAATTCCAGGTCTTGTGAGGAGGTTGCATGGCCTTCAGGGCAGATTGTAAGCCAGATTCTTCCCCTGAATTCCTAGAAACACCCCATCCTGCTAAGGATCTCAGTCCATCAGTGACCATCAATTGTACTTGGATATTCTGACACTCCCCCCCCCCCCAAGATCATTAAGTATTAAATTTTCCTTATGATGGGACCATTAAGTATTCCTGACCCTAGCGAATCAAACACATTCACCCTCAAAATCCCTCCCTCTACCCTGGCTTATATTTCATGTGATTAAAGGTTCGAGCTTTCTCACTTAAAGATTTGTCTGAGATTTGTCATTTATCGCCTGCCAGGCCTGCCCTCCGGCCCATTGGGCTGGGGACCGCTGGGCCTGGGCTCCCGGGCCTGTGCCTTGGCTGCAAGCCAACTGGGCATGGGCCTTTGCCGGCACCTCTGCCAGGCTCAGCTCAGCAGCCTGACCAAGAGCTGTAACACTCTGGGCCATAGGCTTGGGGACGCCAGAGCTTTCATTGACCTCATGCTAAAAGAGCCAAACTGTAACACTGTGGAAAACCTTTTCCATGCCGCGGCTTAGCACACTTGGCTTCGCCCTAAAGCGTTCTAGCTGCCCCTGAGAGAAACAAAACCCCTGTTCTCTGTCCGGAAGCTGAGTTCCAGGACCCCAGCTGAGATCCTGGCAGATGGCGCCCGCGTGGTGCAACAGATCCTCCAGTAGAAGCGAAAAAGGGTGAGTTTCTCTTAGGCCTGAGAGCCTAAGCCTTCAAACTCTGAGGGAGGGGCTGTGTTCCTACTTTGTTTTTGGTGGGAGCCTTGGCATGGCACTGATACAGTTTGTGGAACAGCTGATGCCCCTTGGTCGGAGTACTCCCCGATATTGGCAGAAAGTTCCCTTACTCTCTTCTTGAGTGTTGACCGTTGCGAGCAACACTTCCTATCTTCATCATGTGGAACAACTCATCACATAGAAAGGACCCTCAAGTTAGGACGATATGTAGTCTCTTAAAAGCACATGGTTTTAAATCGCCAAAAAACATCTGTTTGGGAGGACACGTTTCAGATAGCGCCTCACGAGTGATATTTACAAACCCTGACTCGTGGACCCAAGTCGCTTGTCTCGCCAGAAATATAGTCAGGAAAAACCTCTCCCAAGTGTTTGTTCATCTTAGCCGTGGTTCATAAGCGTCTGGGACTGATTACACCAGAGTAACTCCTTGGCGTCTCACCCTCCATCCTCTACCAAGCAACAGTTCTGTATTCACCACGATTCTGTTGCAAAACCCAAGAAACCCTGGCGACCTCCGTCATCTACCCAGGACTCCAATTTGGAGCCAGAGTTTCGGGCACTTCCAGCATTCCCAGCAGGACCACCTCTCTCTGTTACCCCCACAAAGCTGCAGATGTAAACGCATTCCCAGTTAATGTTCATCCCACCCAGAAGCGACCACTTAACAGGGACTCAGACCAAGCTGAAGGTTTAGAAGAACTCAGAGCGGATGTAAAGGGGAATGGCGCCCATGTCGCTCTTACAGAGCCGGATTGCCACCTCAAATAAGCCCAAAGACTGGAGAGATATTTGTGTCCTTCCTGCCCGGCTCACTCCACAGTGGGAAGCCTAGTGCAGGGCCAAAGGCTTCCAGCAAGTTATGAGAAATCAGGACCTAGACTACACCCCGCAGGGAGCCGATGAACTTTTTAGCCGGGGAATTTTTTTCCACAGAAGCACAGCAAACATCACCAACAGGTCATTTTGACCAAATAACATTTTTGTGCAACTGAGGCTTGGGAATTGCAAGCCTGGCTCACAAGACCCCACCCGCCCTGCAGGCACCTGGCAGCACCAGCTCCGCCTACGCCATCCCTGGCCGCACTGCGGGAACCAGCGGCTGCACGCACCAGTGTGCAGACTGCGATGGGCCACAGGTGGCATGAGCACCGTGGGGCTCTGCCAGCCCTTGCCTGGGCGCAGGGCCCGTGGTGACCATGTCCGTCTGAGCCAGGCCCTTCCCATTGATTGCCCCAACTTCGAAGCTGCAGACCTGAGGAATCTGGCAGACGCCCATTCACCTCGCCCGTGCTACACGACACGGGTTGGGTTGGGTTCCAGGACAGAGGAAGATGTTGGACTTTCACTGGCATCCGCACCTTCTCTCCAGTCCTTCCCCCTCATCCCATAGGCAGTTGGGGGTGGAGCCACCAGACTGCGGGGTTTCCCAAAAACTTGCCTGACTAAATACTTGCCTTCCCTAACAGTTCGTGCTTTTAACTCAGAATAGTTGAAAGGTCTCAGACAATGGTGATACTAAAATCTAAATTTTCCCTCTCCTTGTAAACTTAAACATTCTAATAAGCCTCAGAAAACCATCTTGGATCCACCTCACAGGTCAAAGGGATTACATTAACAACTATTAAAGTCAACTTTTCCGCAGGCAAGCCATTCCTGTCTATTTCGGATACATAAATAACAAGATGTTTCATTCCTCAACTGCTTTAAACAGGTAAAATGATTTCAGCCCTTTTTCTTGCGTTCCTAACTTCAACACAGGTGACTGCCCACTTAAAGGATGCCAGGCCAGGGCTGAGATTTCCTCTAATATCCCCTCCTCCTTGTTCTCTGCCAGGAAAGCCATTTTGTCACCCAGACAAAACTGAGCTCCCTCCTGCCTCTCTTGGTTTCGGAGCGCCCAGCACGCCTCTGTCACCCGCTGCTCACCGAAGCAACCACCGACTGACTAGCCCAGGCCCAGCCACCGTGCCTGCTGGCCCGGCACAGCTTTCCATGTGACTCTGCGCTTCACTCTTCTCCAACCTAGAGAACGCACTTCAGGCTTTCTGCTCAACCGCGAGTGCACTCAGCAAAGCCCCGGCTCCCGCAGATCTGCAGATTCTCCTTCCCTCTTCCAGGCCTGCTTGATGCACTGCCAATCGGAACTCTTACTGGATTAACCTGTGCAGTAATTCCCTTTCTTAAAAACCCAGCCTGATTATATCCAGTTACTATACAAGACCACCCAGGAGACGGTATAACCCCCAAAGTTATACCAAGGGGATGGTCACGGCAGAGTTGGGTGTCTGGTAAGGTTCCCTCGGCCTGAGGTTGTGAAGGTTGACTGTGATAGATACAGTGAATAAACTACCTTCTTCTCCCTCTTTTCCTCCTCCTCTTTCTCCTCCTCTTCTTCCTCCTCTGCTGCAATGCTGCTTTTTTTAGTGACAGTGGTTCGGATTGGCTTTTCAGATCTCAGAGACTCATATATAGGAGTCTTAATCATAGAACAGAGAGGTATTTTGGGGAGCTGGTTGTTACGCCTATTTGTTCTTTATCGTCTTCAGTGTCTGTCTTCCAACCTCCCCCACAATTCTGTGTTCGTGTAGTTTGGATGGGACAGATCCTCTCTCCAGGAAGCAGTGACGGTTTGTGTTTGAGGTTTGGCCAATTGTTATTATATGTTCTGACCACAGGCAGAGCTCAGTGAGGCAAGATCTGTGTCTTTTGCCAGTTAAATGGATGTCTTACCCTGAGACTGGTTTAGTCATGGTATGTTAGAGCAGGAGCTGTAGGTGACTATGTTGTCACATGCATCCCAGGTAATGATAACATAAATCCACTAGGAACTCAAAGTTTGGTTGATTCCTGACGATGCCACTTTAATGCTTGAATCATGCCATGCCTGAAGTTAGTCTGTTACAAAACCCCGTTTACAATAATACTTAAAATAGTGCTGGAAGCAACAGGAAAGGTCAATAGGGAATTGGTGATAACTTGTCATAGATCCCATTTGGTGAATTAAAATATAGCCATTAAAGAGGATGTTATAAAATTGTAAGTATGGATATGTATGTCTGTATAAAAGTAGTTATAATGATGACGATGAAATACAACCTGAACTTATTTTTATTACAGTAGTTTGTGTAGTAATATAAATAAAAATCTAGAAGGCCAAACGTAAAAATACAGCCATTAACTCTAAATGTTCGGATTCCTTTTTTCCTTTCTGTCTCCCTAAGCTGTATTTTCTGATTTTACTAAATAGGTATAACTCAGGAGATGTAATTTATTAGCTAGGCCTCTCTAGAGGAACAGACCAAGAATGTACGTGTGAGTGTTATCGTGTATCAGTTATAAATATATAACGAAAGGGATTTGATTGGCTGGACAGGGGCTAGAGAGTCTGACAGTGGCTATGTACATGCCAAGAACCTGGCAGCTGCCCAGTTTACAAAGGTGGATGTCTCGGCTGTCCCAGTCTGGTGCTGAAGGCCTGACCTCCCCTGAGAGTTGCCGGCAGTGAGACCATATTGGAAAGTCATGGAAGTGCTTCTGCGGAAAGGAGTGAAGGCAGGAGGTGCTCACTGTTTCCCTTTGGACTTCTTTGAATGTGGGGGGTCTGCTGGATGGTGCCACCCGTTTTGAGGATGGGTCTTCCCTTTTCTGTTAACCTTTTCTGGAAATACCCTCAGACATACTCAGAGATGCAGCTCCTAGACCAGTGCTTCTCAACCTTCTGAATGCTTCAACCCTTTAATACAGTTCCTCATGTTGTGGTGACCCCTAACCATACCCCAACCGTAAAATTATTTTCATTGCTACTTTAACTGTAATTTTGCTCCTTTTATGATTTGTGATGTAAATTTCTGCATTTTCAGATGGTCTTAGGTGACCCCATTAAAGAGTCATTTGACACCCAGGTGGAGAACTGTCCTAAGTCACTGTAAATCTCTTCAGGTTAATAATCCAGACCCACCATGTGGCTTACCGTTGTTCCTGGGGTGATTGGCCACTTGTCCACAGGATCAAGGGACAAAAGTGACGAACTGGGGATTTGGTGGTCTGTGAATAAAAATGACCTTCTGGGATCAGCTTCCGGGAGACAAATCAACTTTATTAGGGGCCAATGAGGGTTATATAGAACCTTGGGGAGTGGGTAGGGACACCCAGGGTGTGTAAAAATGGGCTGAAGGGCTAAGGTGACATGCCTCATTTACATGGAGGATTCCAGGAATCCTGGGTGCTTGCTGAGCAGGGTCTTGTCAAAGAAAGAGAGTTGGACCTGTAATTTCCCCAAGGACTATGTGACATTCTTTAGATAGAGGGTATGGGGATCTGGGATCCCCAGCAGAGAGGAGGAAGCTCCACTGACAAAGGGGGTCTTCCTCTTCTCACCATTGTATGCTGAGCTCAGGGCTTTTTGTTCACAGTGGACAAAATAAGCAAAACAAAAGGGGGAAACTTTCCTGAAACTGATTTCAAT